CCCCCCTTCCCCCAAATCAAAGACTACAGCAGGCCTGGATCTGCTCTCTCTGTGGCACATACAAAGTAAGCTGGGTGTCCAGATGTGCCCTAAACGTCCATCTTATTGTCCTGCTGTTAAATCCTACAGAAAGTGGAAATGGTGAGGGCACAAAGAGGGTGTGGTGGGGGCATTTCCTCCTTTTAATAGGCCTATAGCGCTAAGCAAAGCATAAATATATATTTAGCAGTAAATCTGTTTCCACATGGCTCCCCTTATCAGATTGATCTGGCATCTGTTAGGAAGCCAGAGCGTGCCTGAAGTATAATACTCACGTCTTTCTTTATCTCTGCCATTTCATCTTCAGTGAGGTGAGGAGCATCCATCCCTCTCCCCCGCAAAGTGAAAATCCAGGTGGTAACGACTGAAGATTATTTTAATAATCTCGTCGTAGTGGATTAAAACACAACAGCGAATAAATTATAGAAGTTAAATAAGCTGACACCTTATTATTAATCGATAAAAGGTGGTCTATCGACTATCCATTCAACTTTTTTTGTTTCAACAACGGAAAAAAAATCCCCGGACTTCCTGATTGTGTCGAGGCTTAACTACGTCAACACACGGCAGAGACGTCGGTTTCACACTCAGCGCTGGTTTAAACCGGTAACGGTGAATAAAAAAAGTCCACGTTCACCTCAAGAGAGTTCTCCTGTTTTACCAGAACAACTCCAAACTGAGCATTTTTCTTCGCTTTGAGTTCTGATGTGCGACTTCTTGCGCTTCTGTACTTCCGACCATGGCCACGCGCGCTTCTCGATAACTCCATTAGGTGGCGCTGTTGGACCTTCTTTCATACAAACACCACGTTTGGCAGGTTTAGTTTAGTCTGACAGCATTCATTCAAAGAAAAGTAAGTGTTACACATGCCTAAATAAACCCAGTAAACTATAGGCCAGTGGTGTCAAACATGTGGTCCAGGGCACAGAAGTGGCCCTCTTAAAGGCTGCCATGGACAGCTGCAGTGAAGTTAGTGGGGATGAAAACGTCTATAGTTTAAAGTATTATTAGATCTACAGTAGTTGTTTGAATCAGAAAGATTTAAAAGAAATCACTATGGCCAGGTGTCCTCCCACTGTGATCTGTAAACTTTAGTGTACGGATAATATTGATGAATGTGGAAAAACTGAGACATAGTTTTGCAGTTATTTTTCTTTTGTGATCTCAAGGTTGCTTATTAAATAAGAAAAGAAAAAAAGGGAAATGTTACCACTTGTAATCTGGCAGGGTTTTAAAGAAGCAGGAGGGATATGAGCTTTTTACTTTACTAGTTTACTCTAGTTTACTCTTTGTGGGCAATTAACTAAGCTGAGTTTGGCACCCCTGCTGTACTGTGTGGCTACTGCACAAGATATTTCTCTAATCTACAAAGTAACTTAAGTACAGAGCGACTCTCAGTTAATTTCAATTTCAATTTATCATTTTTTCTGAATTTTTGTTGCTGATTTATTGTAATGACGCAAATCTGAGGTGAAACGTAGGCTTTTTTAATGTGATGCAGGGCTTTTCAGTTGCTTCACAAAAACGTCTATGCTTTACAATCTGTTTGCATGTTTTGTATGTGGAGCCACTGCAAAGTAGCTGTCGCCATCAGATAAATTTTCCTTGTGAAAAACAGCGTAGAAGTTAAATAGTGTTAGAAAATTCAAGCGCCTTAAACTTGAGTAAATTAAACGTTTGAGGTTTGCCTGCCAGTTTCTTATGTGCACCTAAGACGTAAGACATCCGAACATTAGATTGTTCTCTTCTAGTCTGTAGTTTAAACTGTTAATATTTAGTCTAAGTTCCTCCGTAGAAGCTGGATGAACAGAGCCTTGGAAAAAAGCTCAGAATGCAACAAAGA